ATATTTATGTGTGCTGACAGTAATACAATGACCGACTGAAAGAGAGCGAGAGTACAAAAAAGAAGTAGAGAGAAAAACATGGAGAGAGAAATAGGGGGAGGGTTAGATATAATATGTCAGAGCCTTTTCCAGATAATATTATAATATCTGTAAACATTTCTGCCCCTTTAGTGATTATCATCCCGTACGTCCTGGTGCGTCCGAACAATGCATTCCCCTCGCAATGTCTCTCGGTCTATTGTTCGGTCATCAAGCTGGTCCAACCTTTCTAACGAATTGATTCCCAAGCATATCATTGGTCACTGTCCTGTCACACTCTTGGTCGAGTCCAGTCTGGACAATGGTCAGTGGTCCGTTGACTGGTCAACAAGTTGATTGATGAACTTGACAGGTTAATAAGAGCTTGAGGTAACGGAATTGCGGTAAGATCACTTAACCCTTTGATTCATTGACGGCTTGAAAAGACATATCGTATCCTGCTCAAAACTTGGATACACTATAATGTTCTACTTAATCGACTTGGATCAACATTTTTGAATGTTGTAATAGAAGAATGACGGCAATAAAAACGGGGAGGAAGTATTAGGAGATGCGAAGATATACCACTCGGTGTCTCAATTCCCAACTCGCCTCCCCCATCTACTCTCTCGATCTGTTGTTTTAACACACAGTCAGAATTATAACAAAACGTACACCAAATCCTTACCTAGCTATTTATTTCATATCTTCCCTCCTTTTTCTTCCAAGTTTGTCTCATTCCACACAGTATTCTGTCATGTCCAATGTGATTATTATAAGGGTGACTTTAATTATAAAGAATATTTATTAAAATTGAAAATGATCATTGATATTTCCTCATCCTCTTAGACAATGAATGACTAACAGTTTTCAAAATTATGCTAATTTTCGATATTAAACGATACTCTATGTCCCATATTTTGCAGGCCCCCAAAAAGGTTAATTCACGGTATTTGAAAGATGATACTAATTTAGAACTTCCTTCAAAACAAAAGGGCTTGAATATTTTTTGTTGTTGAAAATACCAACCGTTAGTTCTCGAATCGAATTTAGCGATCGTGGTTGTTTAATCACAAAGTCTGATTTTCGTTTTATGCTGCGCAAAGATTCGATCAGTTTAATTGTGGCCATTACAAGAAGTGGCTCATTGATGTAGACAAATGCTTATGTACCCTTTGCAGCTCATTTTATATATGTTAGTAATAATGAAGTCATTCAGTCACTCAATAGTGTCTGACAGTGAAGTCTAAAAAGTAAACGGATTTCCTTGCAAAATTTGAATACTAGGACACTGCCAACGTTTTAATTCCAGAGATAGGAAAAACGTTACATATATCTAATTCCTGCAAAGTTCTACAGAGTTTAATGTTTGCTGTAAATGGAATACACTGCCTTTATATAAACATGGTTTTACATTAATTTTCACTGTGTCGATATCTATTTTCTTAGTATAAATTTGGGGTCTTCGATGTTTTCATTACATTCACTGCACCACTTCACATTAGTCTTGGTACATTGAGAGTCCTAAAATAGATTCTCATTTGCGACATCCCTTTTACATTCAAGAATGTTTCCCTTCGAAGCCCGTATTGCCTCCACGTCATGCTCACGCTCTTCAAACCCGGGAGATGAGCCGTTCGTTGACTGGTGGAAAGCCTGTCATGGACAAGCATCGGACAATGGTCAAAGAGCCTCCCATTGGTCAGATGTGTGACGGTTGAACTTGACAGGTAGAAGCCCGGGATTAGCGGCGTGTGACCAAGATCAGATGGGTCTGTGATCTTCCCGGCTCATTAATTGATCCATGCTACTGGAGACTCTGGGTAATGCTGGCTTCTATGGACTAGGATAAATTGCTCTCGAATTCTCGACATCAAATCACTTCAGCTTTGAGCTTCAACCTGTAAACAACTGTACGAAACATCGTCTGCCATTGAACATTATATAACTGGAATATTTCGATCGTTAACCTACCTGGCGTTATGGCTACTCACACTTCCAAGTACTTACAGGTATGTCCGAATATGTTTTGGATTTGATAAAACTGCAGCATGTAATGTTATGTCTACAATTAAAAAAAAAAGAGCTTTAATTTCTATATTTATCCTACACCAAATTAACGTTGAACATAATGTAATTGGTCATCATTTCGTAAAGAACATCTAGCATTTGAAATAATTTTGAAATCAATTGAACTAATATTAATGTCTCCCTCTTTCTTTCACTTTGCAGCTCCCCAGTGCTAGCTCGTGTGATATTGGCAAACCAAGTCCATTGGCCATGTTAGCTGAAACCTGTCGAAAGATTGGTACATCACCACGTGTGTCATCTCGTCGAGTACTTAGTCTGAGGACAAAGTCACCACAACCTAAAAACATGTCCATGCCGAACACATCTGTTTCTACATCGTCCTGTTCGTATCTTCCACCTACACCACCACCGTCACCACCCATGCAGATCACTGTGACGTCACCATCATTATCACCAGCTCTGTCGATGTCGCCTCAGCCGCTACCACTCCGATCAGTTAGCCCGGTCATCACTGGGCACCAGCCATGCTACTACCCTCTATACCAACCTGTCATGCGGTACTCTCCTTACTCCACAACACCTCTATCAAGACCAGGAGTTCAACCCTCATCAGTGAGCTACCACTCAGCTACCACTCCATATTCTCCGTGTACTCCTTTGATGATACCAACGTTCAACCACACGCTTCTACATCCTCATTCATCATCGTCATCATCCATGTTCGGTGTCTATCCTCATCACGATCAACCCGTTCACGCTACGATGTCGTCAATGAAGGTCCGTCACACAAGGAATCGTCGATCATATCAGCCCGTTGTCAAGGATGAGGAGGACATCATTGACGTCGTGTCGATCTGAAACTGGACTTTCAATTGAAAATTGTATTGCAAACCTGGACTAATTTGACATTTCATGTTGCATATGGCAAATATTCATTTATTGTAATAAATCTCTGAAAGAAAACGAATTTCATTGTTCTAAGTGTAACTTTGTCTATTGTAATCTAAGTAAAATTAGATCTGAAATGAGAAGCAAGTTCCATTTGAATGAAGTGTTAATTTGAGAAAGAAATCCAGAACTTGTGTTTTCATGAGAGTGAAGATTAATGCATCAGACTCAAATGGTATGGAAGGATTTGAATGTTAGTAAAACAAAATATTAAAAGAGAGAGAGAGGGAGAGAAGGAGAGATGAACTGATAACCCCGCGATGATCGTAATTTTATACGAACAATTTAAAGACAGAGAGGGTGAAAGAGACAGACATTAATATTTATGTGTGAGAGAGACAGATATTAATATTTATGTGTGCTGACAGTAATACAATGACCGACTGAAAGAGAGCGAGAGTACAAAAAAGAAGTAGAGAGAAAAACATGGAGAGAGAAATAGGGGGAGGGTTAGATATAATATGTCAGAGCCTTTTCCAGATAATATTATAATATCTGTAAACATTTCTGCCCCTTTAGTGATTATCATCCCGTACGTCCTGGTGCGTCCGAACAATGCATTCCCCTCGCAATGTCTCTCGGTCTATTGTTCGGTCATCAAGCTGGTCCAACCTTTCTAACGAATTGATTCCCAAGCATATCATTGGTCACTGTCCTGTCACACTCTTGGTCGAGTCCAGTCTGGACAATGGTCAGTGGTCCGTTGACTGGTCAACAAGTTGATTGATGAACTTGACAGGTTAATAAGAGCTTGAGGTAACGGAATTGCGGTAAGATCACTTAACCCTTTGATTCATTGACGGCTTGAAAAGACATATCGTATCCTGCTCAAAACTTGGATACACTATAATGTTCTACTTAATCGACTTGGATCAACATTTTTGAATGTTGTAATAGAAGAATGACGGCAATAAAAACGGGGAGGAAGTATTAGGAGATGCGAAGATATACCACTCGGTGTCTCAATTCCCAACTCGCCTCCCCCATCTACTCTCTCGATCTGTTGTTTTAACACACAGTCAGAATTATAACAAAACGTACACCAAATCCTTACCTAGCTATTTATTTCATATCTTCCCTCCTTTTTCTTCCAAGTTTGTCTCATTCCACACAGTATTCTGTCATGTCCAATGTGATTATTATAAGGGTGACTTTAATTATAAAGAATATTTATTATAATTGAAAATGATCATTGATATTTCCTCACCCTCTTAGACAATGAATGACTAACAGTTTTCAAAATTATGCTTATTTTCGATATTAAACGATACTCTATGTCCCATATTTTGCAGGCCCCCAAAAAGGTTAATTCACGGTATTTGAAAGATGATACTAATTTAGAACTTCCTTCAAAACAAAAGGGCTTGAATATTTTTTGTTGTTGAAAATACCAACCGTTAGTTCTCGAATCGAATTTAGCGATCGTGGTTGTTTAATCACAAAGTCTGATTTTCGTTTTATGCTGCGCAAAGATTCGATCAGTTTAATTGTGGCCATTACAAGAAGTGGCTCATTGATGTAGACAAATGCTTATGTACCCTTTGCAGCTCATTTTATATATGTTAGTAATAATGAAGTCATTCAGTCACTCAATAGTGTCTGACAGTGAAGTCTAAAAAGTAAACGGATTTCCTTGCAAAATTTGAATACTAGGACACTGCCAACGTTTTAATTCCAGAGATAGGAAAAACGTTACATATATCTAATTCCTGTAAAGTTCTACAGAGTTTAATGTTTGCTGTAAATGGAATACACTGCCTTTATATAAACATGGTTTTACATTAATTTTCACTGTGTCGATATCTATTTTCTTAGTATAAATTTGGGGTCTTCGATGTTTTCATTACATTCACTGCACCACTTCACATTAGTCTTGGTACATTGAGAGTCCTAAAATAGATTCTCATTTGCGACATCCCTTTTACATTCAAGAATGTTTCCCTTCGAAGCCCGTATTGCCTCCACGTCATGCTCACGCTCTTCAAACCCGGGAGATGAGCCGTTCGTTGACTGGTGGAAAGCCTGTCATGGACAAGCATCGGACAATGGTCAAAGAGCCTCCCATTGGTCAGATGTGTGACGGTTGAACTTGACAGGTAGAAGCCCGGGATTAGCGGCGTGTGACCAAGATCAGATGGGTCTGTGATCTTCCCGGCTCATTAATTGATCCATGCTACTGGAGACTCTGGGTAATGCTGGCTTCTATGGACTAGGATAAATTGCTCTCGAATTCTCGACATCAAATCACTTCAGCTTTGAGCTTCAACCTGTAAACAACTGTACGAAACATCGTCTGCCATTGAACATTATATAACTGAAATATTTCGATCGTTAACCTACCTGGCGTTATGGCTACTCACACTTCCAAGTACTTACAGGTATGTCCGAATATGTTTTGGATTTGATAAAACTGCAGCATGTAATGTTATGTCTACAATTAAAAAAAAAGAGCTTTAATTTCTATATTTATCCTACACCAAATTAACGTTGAACATAATGTAATTGGTCATCATGTCGTAAAGAACATCTAGCATTTGAAATAATTTTGAAATCAATTGAACTAATATTAATGTCTCCCTCTTTCTTTCACTTTGCAGCTCCCCAGTGCTAGCTCGTGTGATATTGGCAAACCAAGTCCATTGGCCATGTTAGCTGCAACTTGTCGAAAGATTGGTACATCACCACGTGTGTCATCTCGTCGAGTACTTAGTCTGAGGACAAAGTCACCACAACCTAAAAACATGTCCATGCCGAACACATCTGTTTCTACATCGTCCTGTTCGTATCTTCCACCTACACCACCACCGTCACCACCCATGCAGATCGCTGTGACGTCACCATCATTATCACCAGCTCTGTCGATGTCGCCTCAGCCGCTACCACTCCGATCAGTTAGCCCGGTCATCACTGGGCACCAGCCATGCTACTACCCTCTATACCAACCTGTCATGCGGTACTCTCCTTACTCCACAACACCTCTATCAAGACCAGGAGTTCAACCCTCATCAGTGAGCTACCACTCAGCTACCACTCCATATTCTCCGTGTACTCCTTTGATGATACCAACGTTCAACCACACGGTTCTACATCCTCATTCATCATCGTCATCATCCATGTTCGGTGTCTATCCTCATCACGATCAACCCGTTCACGCTACGATGTCGTCAATGAAGGTCCGTCACACAAGGAATCGTCGATCATATCAGCCCGTTGTCAAGGATGAGGAGGACATCATTGACGTCGTGTCGATCTGAAACTGGACTTTCAATTGAAAATTGTATTGCAAACCTGGACTAATTTGACATTTCATGTTGCATATGGCAAATATTCATTTATTGTAATAAATCTCTGAAAGAAAACGAATTTCATTGTTCTAAGTGTAACTTTGTCTATTGTAATCTAAGTAAAATTAGATCTGAAATGAGAAGCAAGTTCCATTTGAATGAAGTGTTAATTTGAGAAAGAAATCCAGAACTTGTGTTTTCATGAGAGTGAAGATTAATGCATCAGACTCAAATGGTATGGAAGGATTTGAATGTTAGTAAAACAAAATATTAAAAGAGAGAGAGAGGGAGAGAAGGAGAGATGAACTGATAGCCCCGCGATGATCGTAATTTTATACGAACAATTTAGAGACAGAGAGGGTGAAAGAGACAGATATTAATATTTATGTGTGAGAGAGACAGATATTAATATTTATGTGTGCTGGCAGTAATACAATGACCGACTGAAAGAGAGCGAGAGTACAAAAAGAAGTAGAAAGAAAAACATGGAGAGAGAAATAGGGTGAGGGTTAGATATGATATGTCAGAGCCTTTTCCAGATAATATTATAATATCTGTAAACATTTCTGCCCCTTAGTGATTATCATCCCGTACGTCCTGGTGCTTTCGAACAATGCATTCCCCTCGCAATGTCTCTCGGTCTATTGTTCGGTCATCAAGCTGGTCCAACCTTTCTAACGAATTGATTCCCAAGCATATCATTGGTCACTGTCCTGTCACACTCTTGGTCGAGTCCAGTCTGGACAATGGTCAGTGGTCCGTTGACTGGTCAACAAGTTGATTGATGAACTTGACAGGTTAATAAGAGCTTGAGGGTAACGGAATTGCGGTAAGATCACTCAACCCTTTGATTCATTGACGGCTTGAAAAGACATATCGTATCCTGCTCAAAACCTGAATACACTATAATGTTCTACTTAATCGACTTGGATCAACATTTTTGAATGTTGTAATAGAAGAATGACAGCAATAAAAACGGGGAGGAAGTATTAGGAGATGCGAAGATATACCACTCGGTGTCTCAATTCCCAACTCGCCTCCCCCATCTACTCTCTCGATCTGTTGTTTTAACACACAGTCAGAATTATAACAAAACGTACACCAAATCCTTACCTAGCTATTTACACTGTCGCTCATAAAGGTGGAATATTTTTTTATTATTCCAATTTATGGAATTATTTTTAAAATAATTTAAAAAAAATAGATCTAGATATAGTATACATTCTCAGATTTTATTGAATAATAATTTGCCAATGTGTGTTTTGCGTGACTGCTAAAGCATGTGTATGCTACTATGCTTATCAACTAGGGGACCTATGCCCTTAAGTCATAAATGACAGTAATGAGGATTAATGCCCCACAAAAGGGCACTAATATAGCACATGGACACGGTCTTGATCCTGGGGCCTCACAGTTACGAGGCCATTGCTTTGTCACTGAACCATGACTGTACGCAGCGGGGGCTAGGGTAGGGGGCAGTTTCCATAAATTTAAAAAAAAAAAAAAATGCAAAAAAATTTCAATAATTTATTGCATTTAACCCCGGTGCCTAACATTAAAAAAATGTATGTGTTCCCATACCTAGAGCCATTATGCATGGCCGTCCAGAGGATTTTTTTATGTTGGGGACCGGGGTAAAATGCAATAAATTATTGAAAATTTATTGCATTTTCTGTTTTTTTTTTATTTATGGAAACTGCCCCCTACCCTAGCCCCCGCTGCGTACAGTCATGGTTCAGTGACAAAACAATGGCCTCGTAACTGTAAGACCCCAGGACGAAAACCGTGTCGATGTGCTTTATTAGTGCCCTTTTGTGGGGCATTAATCCTCATTACTGTCATTTATGACTTAAGAGCGTAGGTCCCCTAGTTAATGAGCATAGTAGCATACACATGCTTTAGCAGTTCCGCAAAACACACATTGGCAAGTTATTATTCAATTAACTCTGAGAATGTATACTATTATCTATATCTATTATTTTAAAATAATTTTTAAAATAATTCCATAAATTGGGGTAAAACTAAAATATTCCACCTTTATGAGCGACAGTGTATTTCATATCTTCCCTCCTTTTTCTTCCAAGTTTGTCTCATTCCACATAGTATTCTGTCATGTCCAATGTGATTATTATAAGGGTGACTTTAATTATAAAGAATATTTATTGAAATTGAAAATGATCATTGATAATTCCTCACCCTCTTAGACAATGAATGACTAACAGTTTTCAAAATTATGCTAATTTTCGATATTAAACGATACTAACTATGTCCCATATTTTGCAGGCCCAAAATGAGGTTAATTCACGGTATTTGAAAGATGATACTAATTTAGAACTTCCTTCAAAACAAAAGGGCTTGAATATTTTTTGTTGTTGAAAATACCAACCGTTAGTTCTCGAATCGAATTTAGCGATCGTGGTTGTTTAATCAAAAAGTCTGATTTTCGTTTTATGCTGCGCAAAGATTCGATCAGTTTAATTGTGGCCATTACAAGAAGTGGATCATTGATGTAGACAAATGCTTATGTACCCTTTGCAGCTCATTTTATATATGTTAGTAATAATGAAGTCATTCAGTCACTCAGTAGCGTCTGACAGTGAAGTCTTAAAAGTGAAGTCTAAAAAGTAAATTTTTAATAAATTTTTAATAAAAAGTTTTCAAAATTATGATCATTTTCGATATTAAACGATACTAACTATGTCCCATATTTTGCAGGCCCAAAATGAGGTTAATTCACGGTATTTGAAAGATGATACTAATTTAGAACTTCCTTCAAAACAAAAGGGCTTGAATATTTGTTGTTGTTGAAAATACCAACCGTTAGTTCTCGAATCGAATTTAGCGATCGTGGTTGTTTAATCAAAAAGTCTGATTTTCGTTTTATGCTGCGCAAAGATTCGATCAGTTTAATTGTGGCCATTACAAGAAGTGGCTCATTGATGTAGACAAATGCTTATGTACCCTTTGCAGCTCATTTTATATATGTAAGTAATAATGAAGTCATTCAGTCACTCAATAGTGTCTGACAGTGAAGTCTAAAAAGTAAACGGATTTCCTTGCAAAATTTGAATACTAGAACACTGCTAACGTTTTAATTCCAGAGATAGGAAAAACGTTACATATATCTAATTCCTGTAAAGTTATACAGAGTTTAATGTTTGCTGCAAATGGAATACACTGCCTTTATATAAACATGGTTTTACATTCATTTTCACTGTGTCGATATCTATTTTCTTAGCATAAATTTGGGGTCTTCGATGTTTTCATTACATTCACTGCACCACTTCACATTAGTCTTGGTACATTGAGAGTCCTAAAATAGATTCTCATTTGCGACATCCCTTTTACATTTAAGAATGTTTCCCTGCGAAGCCCGTATTGTCTTTTCCCTATTGTCTCCACGTCATGCTCACGCTCTTCAAACCCGGGAGATGAGCCGTTCGTTGACTGGTGAAAAGCCTGTCATGGACAAGCATCGGACAATGGTCAAAGATCCTCCCATTGGTCAGACGTGTGACGATTGAACTTGACAGGTAGAAGCCCGGGATTAGCGGCGTGTGACCAAGATCAGATGGGTCTGTGATCTTCCCGGCTCATTAAGTGATTAATGCTACTGGAGACATTGGTTAATGCTGGCTTCTATGGACTATCTGGACTAAATTGCTCTCGAATTCTCGACCACAATTCACTTTATAGCTTTGAGTTTCAACCTGTGAACAACTATACGAAACATCGTCTGCCATTGAACACTGTATAACTGGAATATTTCGATCGTTGAACCCACCTGGCGTTATGGCTACTCACACTTCTAAGTACTTACAGGTATGTACATTCACATTGTGTCTGATATCCGAATATGTTTTGGATTCGATAAAACAGCAGCGTGTAATGTTATGTCTACAATTTAAAAAAAAAGGAGCTTTAATTTCTATATTTACCCTACACCAAAAACGTTGAACATAATGTAATTGGTCCTCATTTCGTAAAGAACATCTAGCATTTGAAATAATTTTGAAATCAATTGAACTAATATTAATGTCTCCCTCTTTCTTTCACTTTGCAGCTACCCAGTGCTAGCTCGTGTGATATTGGCAAACCAAGTCCACTGGCCATGTTAGCTGCAACCTGTCGCAAGATTGGTACATCACCACGTGTGTCATCCCGTCGAGTACTGAGCCTGAGTACGACGTCACCACAACCTCAAACCACTGCCTTGCCGAACACACCTGTTTGTACACCAACATGTTCGTATCTTCCACCTACCCCACCGCCGTCACCACCCATGCAGATCACTCTGACGTCACCATCATCATCATCGGCCTTGTCGATGTCGCCTCAGCCGCTACCACTCCAATCAGTTAGCCCAGCTTTCACTGGTCACCAGACATGCTACTACCCTCCATACCAACCTGTCATGCGTTACTCTCCTTACTCCACAACACCTCTATCAAGACCAAGAGTTCAACCCTCATCGATGAGTTACCACTCAGCTACCACTCCATACTCTCCGTGTACTCCTATGATGGTACCAACATTCAACCACACGCTTCTACATCCTCATTCATCATCGTCATCATACATGTTTGGTGTCTATCCTCATCACGATCAACCCGTCCATGCTACGATGTCGTCAATGAAGGTCCGTCACACGAGGAACCGTCGATCGTGTCGGCTCAATATCAACGATGAGGAGGAGGAAATCATCGACGTGGTTTCGCTCTGATAATAATGGACTTTAAAAAAAACTTCATGTTGCATGTGGCGAATGTTTACTTCATTCATTCTAATAAAATTCAAGTCGAAAGAGAATTTTAATCTTGTAGAAGACTATTATTGTTTACAGCTTGAACTAGTGTGATTGTATGAAAAAGAGTTTTCGGAGAGGAAAAGAAATAAATAAAGAGATAGGGAGAGAGTAAAGGGATGATAGTCTGGATGTGTGTACTCGATTCGTTGGGAAAACATTGAGAGAAGGGGATGAGAGAGAGAGAGAGAAAGGGAAATAGGGGAAAGAAAAAGGAGATAAAAACAGAGTGAGATGAATAGAGAGGGAGACTACCAGAAATGAGAAAACAATTTGTAGAGAGAATGGAGAAGAGATAAAATATATTTTGATAATAAGCATAGTTCTCATGAAAGCCTTTTATCGATATCACTGCGTCCCTCTTTTCTTTTTTTACTGCTACTAATTTGTCTTCTTTTACTACTACTCCTTTTTAGTTTCCAGGCTATGTTGTTTTGTCCTCTCCCTCTCTATATCTAATGCAATTTTCATGGCGCTTCTCTCCCGAAGTTAGCATCATTTATTTTTAATATAATGGATAAGATATTGATACAATGTGAATCACCTTCAATAATTTTCAATGAATGGAATACATGTGAGCACTTTGAAGAGAGTATAAGATTATCACCCCTTACGTCCTGATGCATCCGAACAATGCTTTCTCTCCCCAATGTCTCTCGGTCTATTGTTCGGTCATCAAGCTGGTCCAACCTTCCTATAGAATGGATTCCCAAGCAGGCCATTGGTCACTGTCCTGTCACTATTCTGAATAGAGTCTACTCTGGACAATGGCCATGAGTCAACATGATTGGACTGATGAACTTGACAGGTTTAGAGGTAACGGAAGGGCGGTAAGATCTTTCAACTCTTTGATTCATTGACGTCGCGAAAGACATTAGATCATTTTCAGAACTTGGATACACAATAATGCTGTACTATTTGCTTTAGATCAACATTATTTTGTGTAGAAATGTGATAATAGAGTGACAGTGATGACAACGATGGGTTGGTGGTGACGTCAGAAATGTGTAGAAATGTATTATGATATCCTCTTTCATAACTCTCTATATGTATATTCCTTTTCGTCGTGTTTTTCTGGCCATTTCTCTTCCTGTCTCTGCAGAGTTTCTGGGCGAACATTTAATATACTTTTCCAAATAGAACATATTCTAAAAAGCTAACATTGTTTTGGAAAAGGATACATTAAAAGATTTTCATTCATTTATCCTCCCTTTTTAAGTATAATTTCGCAAGCTTTTATCTGTTTTTCCTCTTTCATTAATATCTTTATCTAATTCTTTAACTCATATTCACTAGGCCTTCATATAGTTCAATTAAAAAAGTTCAATTAAATAAACCTTTTCGCTGCTTTTATATGCACTCAAATTATCATTTACTTGTCATGATATAGCATATACAGGTTCATCAGTCAACTCATTGCCCAGACTGGACTAGACTCAGAACAGTGACTGGACAGTGACCAAAGTTTGAGGGAAGTTCTAAATTAGTATTATCTTTCAAATGCCGTGGGAATTAAACCTTTTTTAATTTTCGCCTGCAAAAGGGATAAAGTTTCTTTAATATCGATAATTAACATACTTTGGTAAACTGTAAGTCATTTAATGTTTAACAGAGTGAGGAAATACCAATCATTATCATTTTAATTATAGCAAATAGACTTTCAAATTACAAATTACATTGGACATGGAATAATATTAAAGTAGAATAAGACAAAATCGCCAGAAAAAGAAGGGAAGATATGGGATAAATAGCAAGGTAAGGATTTTACTGTTTGTGGGTGGTACTATTGGTCAGAGTTTATGTTATAACGTTGTTACGAATATGTGAGCAGTGAATCATTTTTCATGAGGCGAGAAGAATGAGAATGTGGTAAAGAAGGAAAAAAAAGGAGACAACATTATAAGAAACATTGATGGGGATAAATAGATTGATGGGAAGTTGTTGGGGTGATGGGGTTTTGGGGTCAATGAACAAGTATACCATTATTTCGAAATCATGTGACCATCCTAGATTACTTTATGTTTGGAAAAAGTTATACGTCTGCACATAAAGCAAACGATCGAGAGAGTAGATGGGGAGATGAGTTGAGAATTGAGACCCCGACTGGTATATCTTCGCATCTCCTAATACTACCTCCCCGTTGTTATTGCTTTCATTCTTCTATTGCCCCGTTCAAAAATGTTGATCCAAGTCGATTAAGTAGAACATGACAGTTCATCCACGTTTTGAGCAGGATACGAAATGTCTTTTCAAGCCATCAATGAATCAAAGAGTTGACTGATCTTACCGCTATCCCGTTACCTCTATACCTGTCAAGTTCATCAGTCAACTCGTTGACCAATCAACGGACCACTGACCATTGTCCAGATTGGACTCGACCAAGAGTGTGACAGGACAGTGACCAATGACATGCTTGGTGGCCGAACAATCAACCGGCAGACATTGGGGAGGGGAAGCATTGTTCGGACGCATCAGAACGTACGGGATGATGATCACTAAGGGGCAAAAGGTTTTACAGATATTAAAATATTCTCTTTATAATAATTTAAAAAAAGGCTCTGACATATAATATCTAACACCCCTCCTCTCTCTCTCTCTCTCTCTCTCTGTCCTGGTTATCTATAAAACTGCCATCGCACATCCAACAATCACTATTCCTTCTATCTCACTCTCTAAATAGTCCATGTATCATCGCACAGCTATCAGGATAACTCTCCGTATCTCTCTCTCTCTCTTCAAGTATTTCTCTCTCTTTCTACTTGTCCTCTCACTCTCTTTCTATCACTCATTATATTACTACCAGCACACATATCTTTTAATATCTGTCTCTCTCGGTCCCTCTCTGTCTCTATTTGTTCGTCTATATTACTATCATCGGACAGCTATCATTTTTTGTCTCCTTCTCTCTCTTTTTTTGTTACTTACGTTCAAATCCTTCCATACCATTGAAGTCTGATGCATTAGATTTCTCTCTCATAAATACACAAATTCTGGAATTCTTTCTCAAATCTACACATCAATTAACTGTAACTCTAAAGTGATGGAATTCATTTTCTTTCAGAGATTTATTACAATAAATGAATATTTGCCGTATGCAACATGAAATGTCAAATTAGTCCAGGTTTGCAATACATTTTTCAATTGAAAGTTCAGTTTCAGATCGACACAACGTCAATAATATCCTCATTCTCGACATCGGGTTGACGTGTTCGACGATTCCTTGTGTGACGGACCTTCATTGACGGCATCGTAGCATGGACAGGTTGATCGTGATGAGGATAGACACCGAACAATGATGGTGAATGAGGATGAAGAAGCGTGTGGTTGTACGTTGGTATCATCATAGGAGTACACGGAAAGTACGGAGTTGAAGCTGCGTGGTAGCTCATCGATGAGGGTGGAACTCTTGGTCTTGAAAGAGGTGGTGTGGAGTAAGGAGAGTACCGCATGACAGGTTGGTATTGAGGGTAGTAGCATGGCTGGTGACCACTGATGACCGGGCTAACTGATCGGAGTGGTAGCGGCTGAGGTGACATCGACAAGGCTGGTGACGATGATGGTGACGTAACATCGATCTGCATGGGTGGTGACGGTGGTGGTGTAGGTGGAAGATACGAACAGGACGATGTAGAAACATGTGTGATTGGCAAGGCAGTGTGTTTAGATTGAGGTGACGTCGTCCTCATACTCAGTACTCTACGGGATGACACACGTGGTGATGTACCAATCTTTCGACAGGTAGCAGTCAACAGGGCCAGTGGACTTGGTTTGCCAATATCACACGAGCTAGCATCAGGGAGCTGCAATGTGAAAAGAAGAGGGAGAGATTAATATTAGTTCAATTGATTTCAAAATTATTTCAAATGCTAGATGTTCTTTACGACATGATGACCAATTACATTATCTTCAACGTTAATTTGGTGTAGGGTAAATATAGAAATTAAAGCTCTTTTTTTAATTGTAGACATAACATTACATGCTGCTGTTTTATCAAATCCAAAACATATTCGGACATCAGACACAATGTGAATATACATACCTGTAAGTACTTGGAAGTGTGAGTAGCCATAACGCCAGGTAGGTTCAACGATCGAAATATTCCAGTTAATATAGTGTTCAATGGCAGATGATGTTTCGTATAGTTGTGTACAGGTTGAAGCTCAAAGCTGAAGTGATTTGATGTCGAGAATTCGAGAGCAATTTATCCTAGTCCAGATAGTCCATAGAAGCCAGCATTAAACCAATGTCTCCAGTAGCATTGATCACTTAATGAGCCGGAGAGATCAGAGGCTTATCTGATCTTGGTCATACGCCGCTAATCTCGGGCTTCTACCTGTCAAATTCAACCGTCATACGTCTGACCAATGGGAGGATCTTTGACCATTGTCCAATGCTTGTCCATGACAGGCTTTCCACCAGTCAACGAACAGGTCCTCTCTCGACTTTGAAGAGCGTGAGCAATGACGTGGATACAATAGGGAGAAAGACAATAGGGTAACACTCTTAAATTGATACCCTGTTAAAGGGATGTCGCTAATGAGAATCTATTTTAGGCCTCTCAATGTTCCAAGGCTAATATTGAGTGTTGCAGTGACTGTGACTAAAAATTTGAAGACCCCAAATTTATGCCAAGAAAAATTCGACACTTTTTGTTGTTGAGTTCATCGTTATAATTATGGCAATAAGTCAAATAGGACTTTTATCACCACTTAAGTTTTTAATGAACATTAATTATAAGAAAAGATTAACCTTTCTCTGTTAATCATACTTTGTGTTGTGTCCCTGTATTTTTATAGGGTTTTTATATGTATTTTTGTAATTGTAATGCATCATTGTTCGTATTTGTTTTATATGTAGCGACCTGTCATGGTTTCGGAAAGGGAACATGGACCTGGTCTTGAATGTACACGGGTATTCCTTATATATGAAAAAATGCACGATTTAACAACAAACAACAATATCATTATTATTATCATATCATGCCAAGTTTATTGGTTGCACTGTCAAGCAGTCAAATGTAAGCCAATGCTATTTGGTATTGAAAATTTGTATCATTTAGAATTCGAAACTGTATATATTTTTTTGTTTAACAGATAGAGGAGATATCAATATATCAATTATCATTTGCAATAGCAAATAGTCTTTAACGAATTTAAGCAACAATGATAATCACATTGGAAATGAAATAAATGTGAAATAAGAAAAAAATTGGAAGAAAAAAAGGAAGATAGATAAACTATAGCTAGGTAACGATTTGGTGTACACGTTGTTTTAATTCTGGCTGTGTGTGATACTTAAAGTTCGAGTTTATGTTAAAACATATGTTACGAATATGTGAGTAGTGAACATGAGGCGAGCAGATAGAGAATGTGGTGAAGAAGAAAGAAAAAGGTGACAATATCATAAGATAGACTGATGGAGATAGACGGGATGGTGTTGGGATGCTAGAGGAAAAAAACAAACAAGGATATCATAACATTAACTCGAAATCATGTGACCATGTTAGATTGCTTCATGTTCGGAAAAAGTTAAACGTCTGCCCATAAAGCGACATATAGAGAGAGTAGAGGGGGGCGAGTTGGGAATTGAGACACCGAGTTGTATATCTTCGCATCTCCTAATTCTTCCTCCCCGTTGTCATTGCTGTCAGTCTTCTAGTATACTGTTAACAAATGTTGATCCAAGTCAATTAAGTGGAACATGATAGTGTATCCAAGTTTTTTAACAGGATACGAAATGTCTTTTCAAACCTTCAATGAATCAAAGAGTTGACTGATCTTACCGCTATTCCGTTACCTCTAGCTCTAATTAACCTGTCAAGTTCATCAGTCAACTCGTTGACCAATCAACAGGCACTGATCATTGTCTAAACTGGACTCTCCCAAGAATAGTGACAGGACAGTGACTAATGACCTGCTAGGAAATCCAGTCGATAGGAAGGTTGGACCATGTTGATGAATGATGACCGAACAATAAACAGTGGGACATTAAGGAAAGAAGGCATTGTTTGAACGCATCAGGACGTACGGGATGATACTAAGTGATGGGCAAAAGGTTTACAGAATATCATATTCTCTAGAAAAAGGTTCTCACATAATTATCTAACCCATATCCCACCCACCCCACTCTCTCTCTCTCTCTCTCTCTCTACATGTCTCTCGCGCTCTCTCTCTTTCCATATCACTCATCTTTATCAACGCCAGCACACATCTTTCAATCTCTGTCTCTCAATTACTCTCACCATTCTTCCTCTATCAATAGGTCATCAGATAGTGTGAGTCAAAAAAAGTTTTTACCTAGAAAATTGCCAATTATTTTGAAAATCATCTATGAAGAGTAAATTATTATTATCTTATGGAAGAGTGTTGTATTCCAAATCGTTTGGTATCATTTGTGTGAGGTATGTGTCCACGCTTGGATGAACAGGAGACATCGTTTAAGAGAGTGCAAAAATCGACTTGGCCAAGGTAATGTTTGTGATGTTTGAATAAATCAATTGGGATTTGGGTATTAATTTGGTCTTTGCAAATCCAAATAACATCCGTAACAAAATTTATCTTGCCACACATATCAGATATCAAAGAACATTTGTGCGCGTGTGTGTGTGACTTTGCTTCTGCAAAAAGCATCTGCGATGCATATCATTTGATACATTCAATTCATTCTTTCACTTTAATATTTTGCGCAAGACGATTTTTTTTTTTACTTTCGCAAACAATGCCTCCTGATCACCTAAGCGTGAACACATAACACACAAATATGTTACTTTTTACCTAGCGATTCGGGATATAACCCTCTTTCAAAACATGTATCATAACCTTTTATTCATAGCTGACTTTTAAAATAAATGACAATTTCCTATAGTGTAAACGTTTTACACGGTATAGCTCTCCTTCTCTCCTCCTTTTTTCACTAACATTCAAATCCTTTCATATCATTTACGTCTGACGCATTATTTTTCACTCTTATTAAAAAAAACAAATTCTGGATTCTTAAGATCCTAAAATCGATACTTCATTCATATGTAACTCGCTTCTCATCTCACATTATCATGGACAAAACTAGTCTTAACGCGATGGAATTCATTTTCTTTCAGAGATTTATTACACTCAAACTTTTAATGAATATTTGCCACATGCAACATGAAATGTCAAATAAATACAATTTTCGATTGAAAGTCCAGTTTCAGACCGAAACGACGTCGATGATATCCTCCTCTTCATCCTCGACAACGAGCTGATATGATCGATGATTCCTTGTGTGGCGGACCTTCATTGACGACATCGTAGCATGGACGGGTTGATCATGATGAGAATAGACACCGAACATGTACGGCGATGACGACGATGACGATGATGAATGAGGATGTAGAAGCGTGTGGTTGAACGTTGGTATCATCAAAGGAGTACACGGAGAGTATGGAGTGGTAGCTGAGTGGTAGCTCATCGATGAGGGTTGAACTCCTGGTCTTGAAAGAGGTGGTGTGGAGTAAGGAGAGTACCGCATGACAGGTTGGTATAGCGGATAGTAGCATGGCTGGTGACCAGTGATGACCGGGCTAGCTGATCGGAGTGGTAGCGGCTGAGGCGACATCGATAAAGCTGGTGACGATGATGGTGACGGTGGTGGTGTAGGTGGAAGATACGAACAGGACGATGTACAAACAGGTGTGTTCGGCAAGGATGTGTGTTTAGGTTGTGGTGACGGCGTCCTCATACTCAGTACTCGACGAGATGACACACGTGGTGATGTACCAATCTTTCGACAGGTTGCAGCTAACATGGCCAGTGGACTTGGTTTGCCAATATCACACGAGCTAGCATCGGAGAGCTGCAAAGTGAAAGAAAGAGGGAGAGATCAATATTAGTTCAAATGATTTTAAAATGATTGCAAATGCTACATGTTCTATACGAAATGATTACTAATTACATTATTTACAACATAAATTTGGTATAGGGTAAATTAAGAAATGAAAGCTCTTTTGATTAAATTGTAGATATAGGCCTGTAACATTACACGCTGCTGTTTTGTATAATCTAAAACATATTAGGACATAAGACACAATGTGAATGTACATACCTGTAAGTACTTGGAAGTGTGAGTAGCCATAACGCCAAGTAGGTTCTTCGGTATTATATTCCAGTTTATATAAAGTGTTCAATGGCAAATGGTCTCGTATAGTTGTACACAGGTGGAAGTGCAAAGCTGAAGTGATACGATGTAGTGAATTCGAGGGCTACTTATCCTAGTACAGCTAGTCCATGAATCCCAGCTAATAGCATTGATCACTTAATGAGCCGGGAAGATCACAGACCCATCTGATCTTGGTCATACGCCGCTAATCCCGGGCTTCTATCTGTCAAGTTCAACCGTCACAAAGTCTGACCAATGGGAGGATCGTTGACCATTGACTGATGCTTGTCCATGACAGGCTTTCTACCAGTCAACGAACGATTCTTCTACCGGCTTTGAAGAGCGTGAGCATGACGTGGTGACAATAGGGAGAAATACAATATGGGCTTCACAGGGAAACATTCTTGAATGAAAGGCCTGTAAAAGGGATGTCGCAAAATAATGATCGAATTCTATTTCCGGATCCCCCTAGTACAACACACGCTGAAAATATATTTCACTGTAAGTTTGTGAGATGACTGCGTACAAAATACTGTATAGGCCCAAATTCGATAGATCTAGAGTGTATGCAAAATCAAACAAAAAAATAAATTGAATTAAAAGTACCACGTACATTTTGCTAAAAACACACAAAACAGCCAAATGTGATAGAGTGGCCTTCATGAATTAATCTAGTATAACAAGTTTGTCTCCAAAATACTTAAATCATTAAAGAGAGTAAAGGGAAAAGAAAGAGAACATACATGTATATGCTATACCATAACAAGTAAACGATAAATTGAGTGTATATAAAAGCAGTGGAAAGTTTAATTTATTGAATTATTAATAAGCCTAGGGAATATGAGTTAAAGATAAAGGTGAGTTTTGGTCATCATTTTCATTGTGAAAGAAAGGGTGTGGAATGGATCAGAAAAAGTCTATCATGTAGCATGTAAGTATTGGTGTGTACTCCAAAGTTCTGGAGTCATCAAAATCATAATAAATGTGGCCTAGTCTTGGTAAAGTAACAAGCACTGTACACAGAAAGATGTATATGGGACTGCACAAATGGTCTCAGGGCTACTAACCTTGATTTCCTAATCTTTCTATGATCATTAAACAGTATACATTTTCTACCAAATTTTTTTGGCAAATTAC